CAGATCCGTTTAGTCGTTCTGGCGTGAAAGAATAACAAACATCCATACTCACAAACATTCACATTTATAATATTAATACGGACGTAGGACTTATTATTAACAATATTTACGAACAATATCTGTCTTTAACAATAGAAAAGAGATAACATAAAAAACGTTTACTATTAAAAGATAACATACGTTTCTTATATACATATACGTACACTAGCGTAGTAGCGACTCACCCTCCCTACGCTCGGGTTAGTCCCTCCTTACGTTTCAACGGTTAGTATAGATTTCTCAGAAATGAGATATTTTGCCGCAGTAAAAAGTATCCTATATGTTGACCCGGATACCCAGCTATCATCATACCAAATTTCATCAAAATCCCTCCAGCGGTTATTCCGTGATGCGGTAACAAACAGACAAATATTCTAAAAACTATTGATTCAGCCTCTGTGTCGATAGTAATGTCTATTTCAATAAGATTTTCCAAAAAAAATACTTATTTAATTTACGGATTCGGCTTAGTTACATTTTTAATTATTTATAATGAATAGCTAGCATACACATAAAAAACAAATTCTATAACTAAAGAAATACGTAATAATTAGTTAAACGACATTTTAAAACGTTTTGATTTCGAAACTTCGATTTCATTTGGCGAACATCGCGAGGAAGCACGTTTCATAACTTTATGGATTTAACCGTAAAAGAATCGCCATAAAAAGGTGAGATGTACGAGCGGCTATCTTTTTGCGATCTAAGTTCGAATTTATTATAAAACAGCGTACATTACGATAACGATTTTTAAGTGACGTCAAAAATGAGGTATTCCCTTTAGTCATGTGATGTATGATGTATGTTTATATTGTACTAGCATTGCCCGCGGCTCCGCCCGCGTTCAGGTGACCAAAAACCAAATTTTTAGGTTTTACATATTAGTATACGCTTACATTGCAGTTTTTGTATTTTTTCCCGCTGTAAAAAGTATCCTATATGTTGACCCGGATAATCAGCTATGACCATACAAAATTTCATCAAAATCCCTCCAGTGGTTTTTCTGTGATGCGGTAACAGACAAACAGACAAAAATTCTAAACACTATAGATAACAATGTTTATTTCAATAAAATTTTCCAAAAAATATTTAATGTACAGATTCGGCTTCGTTACAATTTTATTATATGTATAGATGAGTATATATTACGCGGTATCTTTGTTTATTATGAATATATAACATTTTTTAATGTATAAATATTTTATACATAAATAAAGATAACCTAAGTATGGTCTCGTGAAGTTGGTATAATTTTGATTTTTAAAAATTAGCAGGTGTATGTTACAGTCTTCGTGAAGTTACAGTCTGTAAAGTTTATTGGCGTCTTGGCGAGGTGCAGGTTAAGTGTAGTTCACTATCATAAACTTCAGTTCAATAAAGTTTTGTGGCAGCTTGTGTATTGCTTGTAAATTTCACTTCTGTTTTTGTTTCTAGCCAGCTTCTGGAATAGCGCAAATAATTTAGTGACGTAAGACTATAAATTACGTGTAGTAATCTGAAAATTATATAAAAATTCTTTATATTTTATATTTATTCAAAAAAAAATAAAAAAAAATCGTACTACTATTATTTATTATTAATGCACATGTTTTTATGTGTGTACGTTTCTTAAACTTCGCGCTGTAACAGCTGGACAGAATTAGATTTAATTTAGTATACAGATACATCTGAAACCTGTAGTAAAATATAAACTACTTTTGATTTTAAAAAATTCCTAAATATTGCAGTCTGTGTAGTACAGTGTACGTCCGTATTATTATTGTGACTAAGTCAAATCTGTAAATTAATTTTTTTTGGAAAATCTAATTGAAATAGACATTATTATCGATACAGAGTCAGATTCTATAGTTTTTAGAATTTTTGTCTGTCTGTCTGTTACCGCATCACAAGAAAACCACTAGACAGATTTTGATGAAATTTGGTATGATGATAGCTGTTTATCCGGGTCAACGTATAGAATACTTTTTACCACGGGAAAATAATAATAATAATAATAATAAATCTTTAATTCGGAATACTTTTCCATAAAATTAGATTACAAACAAAATACATATAAAATAAATACAAAAATATATACAACAGTTTTATACGTAGAACAATAAATAAAATGAAACATTTAAGAAATATAATAATAATAATAATAATACAACAACATAACTATGTGTGCAGAAATTTGGCCCAAAATCTCAACATTTGAGAGTCGTAGCTGCCTGCTACAGCTTGCATGATAGGATTTGTGCTGTCATTTATCCTCTGTCTCAGAAATGCGATTCTCTTTCTTATGACAGCAACAAATCCATCAGTACGTGCCTCGCAAAACATCCAAGACGCACTACAGTATCTAGGTAGTCTAAACATTGCTCTAAAAACATCATTATACTGAATTCGTAGAGCATTGAAAGAGCGTTTCGCATAGTTTGTCCAGAGACCACACGTGTACAGCGTTTGACAATAGGCCTTAAAGAGAGTAATTTTTACTTGATCAGTACACGTAGCAAATCTCCGGGCCAACATGTTTCCACGCATCGCCAATGCTCTACGTTCCCTCTCTATATCGTCCTCATCTGTTAACATTTCATTTAGAATATGTCCAAGGTATTTAAATTTTGCAACACGGTCAAGCTTGACATTATTTAGAGTAACGTCAGGTATATAGTCAGGTCCATTTTTATATTTGAATACCATAGTAACAGATTTTTTACTATTATAAACCAACCCATGACTTTTAGCATATTTTTCACAAATGGCAAGGAGCCTTTGTAAGCCTCTGATTGATGGACTGAGCAGCACCATATCATCAGCATAGCTAAGGCTATTTACACAACATCCGCCTATGTGACATCCTATACGCGAGCTACTCAGTTCACCAATCAGATCATCGACATACAGGTTGAATAGACTAGGCGAAGTAAGACCTCCTTGTCTCACTTCACACTCTAATTTGTATACATCTGAACTAGCATCTGACCATCTTACAACATTACTCTGATTCTTATACCAATATTTAAATAAATTTATAGTCTCAATGGACATTCCACTTTTCTGTAGCTTGTTCCACAGTATATTATAATTAACGAGATCGAATGCCTTTGACAAATCTAGAAAACAAGCGTATATACTCGTTTTGCGAGCTTTGTAATAAGAAACTGTATGGTTCAAACTAGCTATCGCCATTTCAGTAGAAAGCTTAGGTCTAAATCCAAATTGAGCTCTATTAATGTTTAAAGACTTTTCCAGCCTGACATTAAGCAACCTGTCCAGGACTTTGGCCAACACAGTAGCCAGAGATATTGGCCGATAATTATTTAAAGATGAAATATCACCCGTTTTATTTTTAATAATGGGCACAACTACTGTTTTATTCATGTCCGGAGGTACATATCCATGACTAACACATAAATTAAACAAAATAAATAACACTCTCGGTAGATGTTTACCGCCATTGATTAGATGTTCTATACTAAGGTCATCGTGGCCAGGTGACTTGCACCTTTTCATATTTTTAATAGCACTTTGAATCTCTTCAACAGAAAACCGATCAGTCACCTGTCCACCACAACGCGTTGTTTCATCATGAGGAAACTGAGTGGAAGAATCTATAGGCAGGGGAGAGCTAACACGAAAATGTTCCTTAAATAGATTAGCAATGTCTGTAGAGTTACATATACCATTTACACTAATGGGTCGACTTGATTTATAGTGTAAACTGTTTGTTTGCTGCCAAAATTTACCAAAACTATTTTCCGATCTATTACTTGCAATTATATCTAGTTTAATTTTATCTTCATTCTGTTGACACCATTTAAGCTTACTTTAGAAATTATTACGTGATTCTACCATATCCCTATGTACCATTCCTGTCAGTGGCTTACCGCACCATAACCATATTCTGTATTTTTCACGTGCTATATTGTGACTTTCTCTTACATATCGATTCCACCCTGTTATATAGCCACCCTTTCTTTTTACTTTCTTTACTTGTTTACTTTTCCTAGCTGCATTCTGAAGAGAATTCACAATACTGTGGTAAAGCTCACATATAACAAGGTGATGATTAGTATCATTACAAAAACTGTCAAAGCAACTTAAACAATTATCTGGTATTTGTATATCACAAAGATAGTTATCACATAAATACATATATTTATCTATTTCTTCAATATTTCTTATTCCCCAAATTACTTGACTAGATTTTTTATTAATACTATGCCTATCATCAATTTTACAACTTACAGAGTTCAAATTACACGTTATAGATATGGGGAAATGATCAGACCAATAAACATCGTATAATATTTGAATTTCTGATACCGTGCTATACGCTGACTGAGTGGTCAATACATGATCGAGCCATCGCCTACATCCATGACCATGACAATCACTAATGAATGTATACGCATCTGAGCCTACACCAAATTTTTCTAAGTCCGCACAAAGCCAGTTATATTCTTTACAAAATTGAATTAATTCATTACCAAACAGTTCACCTGGATGGGCATTAAAGTCACCTAATATAAAAACACTTTCGGTATCATTTACTTCTACTATCGAATTTATATATGCTAGTATACTAGTAAATTCAGTCAAATTATCGATACAGTTAGTAGGCATATACACAGAAAAAATCAAAACAAACTTATTGTCAAATTGAATACGAATTCCACATACTTTGAGGGTAATCGCCACAGTTCAGCACAGTCACACTCGGAAACAAATCTTTCCGCCATAAGAGCGCAATGCCTCCGTATGGCCGTCCCCGTATTACGCCTGCCGAAGTATCCACTGCACTTGTACCCGTGAAACAAAACTTATTATCTATAGTAGCTAAAAAGTTCAAGTCATGCGGAAGAAGCCATGTCTCTTGTAAAGCTATGACACTATAAGTCTTACAAAAGTCTCTCACACATTGGACGGAACGTTTCACAGATTTACAATTAAAAGATAATAATGCCACTTCACTATTTTTCTCCATTTTGATTGTTATTCTTATACTTCCTAAACTGAATAAATCTTCTGAACATAATACCTTCTGGCCATATATCACTATTCAAATATAAATCTAATTTATTCCTTGATACAAAGATTTTATATGAACAATATTGTTTATCCTCTTTCATTGTTAACTTTTGAATAGTTATTTTTTCTTGAGTTTTACTCTGCACGTATTCGCATATATCCCGTTCACTTGTATTTTTATCAACGTTCGAGATATACAAAGGAACTTTAATATCAGCTGATTTAAAAGTGCTCGATGTTTCCACTTTTCCTATACCTAACTTCCCTTGAAATCTGTTAGTATTTTTCTTATATGTTACATTGATCCACGGGTTGGGATTTTCTTCAATTTTATTTGAATGTTCTGTGTGCTTTTTTAGCAATGAACGCGGCTCAGGTGATGTAATAGCTGTCATGGAAGCGTATGTTGCATTTTTCTTAGGCTCATGCTGATGCGAAGCTTGTAATGACACATTCTCAATTCTATTACTCGTACTTACACTCAAGGTCTCCACCGGGCCGGGGTCAACAACCCGCGCATGACGCTCCCGATTCGAATTTGAAACCGGCAACGGTTGAAGCGCTTTGTTCTTACTCGATTCGCAAACCTTTTGAGTAACGATTTCAGATCTCAACTGTTCAACGCATGTTTTAAATACTTCTTCATCACATTTATTTCTCATTTGTACCTTTATATTTTGTAGTTCTTCTTGTAAAACTCGAATATCAACTAAAAATCTAGATACATCGATATGATCAAACGTCACGGGGGGTAATTTAGAGAGATCATATGCCACAAATTTTGGAAATAATTCCGATTCACACTCTTTTAGCACCTTAATCATATCCTGAAGGTCTTTTTCGATTTTGTTTTCTCTTTTTCTCATTATTTTCCGTCCCTTCTCTGTTGGAACAAAATCAAACAAGATTGTTTTGGCTTTTTCTACATCTTCCGTCTTGAACGATGTAGCACACAAACGAATTATGGATACTTCATCCAACACATCACATTTGTTTTGTAAGAAACATAATAGCTCGTTAATAACAATATTTGTACTCAACGACGTCATCCCGAGGTAATAATGTCACACGGAAACGAAACAAATATGACACCCGCACGTCAAGACGGCGTGCGCGCAACTGATCTCATTTCTGAGAAAAAATACAAAAACTGCATTGTAAGAGTACACTAATATGTAAAACCTAAGAATTTGGTTTTTGGTCATCTAGACGCGGGTGGAGCCGCGGGCAATGCTAGTCTATTATAATATTATAAATGTGAAAATTTGTGACCATGTATGGATGTTTGTTACTCTTTCACGCCAGAACGGCTGAACGGATCTGAATGAAATTTGACACAGAGATAGATAATAGTCTGGAATAACACTTACCATCCTTTTTATTCCGGAAATATATAGGGTTCCCGAACTAGTAATTTTATAAATACAAAAAAGTCGCTTGTAATGTCTAAAGTCTAGACCATTCTAATACAAATTTAATGGATACTTAAATAATCATATTAAACTATCTATATATCCTTGGATATTCAAATATTTATATAGCACAGTGAAAATTTGAGGTAACTTCAGAAGACAAAGGAAATATTCAAGATAAACCGATCTCAGCAAACTTTGGTCTTGTAAAATTTTAATTAATTTACTTGAACGAATACGTTCTTTTCTTTCGCTTTAAATTAAAAATGTTATAAAACTATGTGAATAAATCCAGCTAATATTACATTTTCTATTTCAATTTTTACACAGTAAAAAGTTAAAGTTTTTAATTCTTACTGCTATCAGTTTCATTCTGTTAACTTTTAAAATTTTGGTTTTATATGATGTGGACTTCGTGACATATGTACACACAAAAGATTAGATCTGTCTAGTAATATGAAATTAGACGCTAAATGTATGAACTAATACGGTTTCATTAAAATCCAATCAGTGGTTTTTGTGTACTAAGCTGTATAAGTTACTATAGATTTTTAACTATCCCACGGGAACTCTTTAATTTTCCGGGATGAAAAGTATCTAAAATGTTGACCGGAGACAGAAGGTACCACCATGCAAAATTTCATTTAAATCGGTCCGAAAATTTCGAAGATTAGCCTGTACAAACAGACAAACAGATAGAGAAACAAATTGAAAAAAATCTGGATTTGTACTATTTCTCTTCTTACATCCCCTGACTCGGTTTTTAGCATATTTTTTTATGTACTTTTATGTACAGACATTCGACCTCTACGTATACGTATTACTTATGCAATTACTTTTTTGTAGTCTGAACGCGGGCAAAATCGGTTGTTCTGCTAGTAATTAAATTAAATGTTAAAAATTTAATTCAGTTTTTGGTAGATTCATTTTCAATGTACATATTTTAAGATCGTGGCAGACACGAGATCTGTGGATTTTTAAAATAGAGATATTTTTTCCGATAAGGTAATAATAATTTATTAATAATAATTTATAAATTCTAATAAAAACCTAAAATAACCGTGTCATGCATTTTTCAGATAAAATAATTCAAATATATATGTAACTTACACAAATATTTACTGATAATGGTCGCAGACACTATTTTTTTGTTTTAACTATATACTAAACCAAACCAAAAGATAAATTAAAATATAGTTTGAAATAATCCATTAAATTACAAAACTGGTGATTATCTACTAACGTAGAATACTTTTTGCTTTTGCATTGCAAAAATAGGAAGTAAAAACACGTATAAAAAAGCACTTATTAAAATTAGCTACAAATACAATGCCCAGTGAATATCTACCAAACAAAATGGAGATTCATATTGTAGACCGTATTACTCCGAGTTTGCGTAAAATATAAAAGTTTATACGAACTAAAAGTATGATATTTTGTTAAAACATTCGTCATTTATACTCGGAATTTTAATTCGTTTCCAGATTTGACAATTTCAGTGTTGCGACGTTATGACAAGTACTAAATAGTGACGTTGCGAAATTATTCGATACAGAAATGGAATATTTCCGGATCGATTCCTCTCGTTTATAGTAGTATATCTAAACAACTACTACTTTAATAGAAACTAAGTATATCAGGAAATTAAATATTTCTAAACGGATAATTTAGTTATGACGATTAATTTTATAAAGGATCTGAGAGTTTTCTTTAATAATTGTGTGTGAAATAAATAAATAAATGTGATCATGAAGGAACATGAGAAATAAAACAAATAGATGTATTATGGTAATATTTTATTGTATAAATCGTCACCATCATCGCTATCGCTATCTGTAACGTTTATTATAAACGTGTCTGTGATATTGTCAATTAACATATCTAGCCTACTCATTTTTTCCTCTTCTTTGACAACATGGGATACGCATTTAGACCATTCGGTAGCCGTAATTTTTTGAATACCTTTCTCAAATAAATTTCTCACGTCTGTCAATTTGAAGGTTTTATTATGTTATTATACTTGTAGTATCATTACTTTTTCAGTAACAGTGAAAGCTTTTCGTGGACGTTTTTTTCTTGGGGACAAGAAAACATCCACGTCTTTTTGTGATGTACTTGGCTGAGGATCCATTTTGATGGAAAACCAAAACAAATAGATTTACTCAAAGTTCACAAAAAACTATAAACATAACAACAAACACAACATAGCAAAAACCCAACAAAATAACAAAATATCGATTCGCAATGAAACAAGATATTCGTGCAGTCAGACTGAGAGAATGAAGCCGACTGCCGAATGACAAGATAAACAAAATGGCGATAGCTGCACGAGCGCGCACGGGTTGCCAATACAGAAAACTATCTATCTAGACTCTTTATTATAAGTTTTGTTTTTAATATAAAAAACAAAAATATTAACTTTTTATAAAATAAAGCAGTGGTTACTAATTAATAAATAATTATTATGAATAATTATGTATTTATTTAAATAAAAATCAATAATTTAGTCTTCAATTGGCACACCAATATTATGATTACATAAACATAAATCGCGATTGTTTATCGATTTTTGTGTTCATCACTACACTATTATATGTGGTATCATTATTTTACAAAATGACAGTAGCTAATGTCAAATGTGGAATCGAATTATAATTCCGAGTATAAGTACCATATTTTACATTAATAACAACAATGCAGTTATGTACGTATTTGTGACTGTATGTTATGATTTATTTTTTATATGTACGAGTATATTTTTGTGGTAGGTACATAAATAAATAATATAAATTACTAGCGACTTACCCTCGCTTCGCTCGGGCCCGGAAATCATCCCTTATGAGGATGAAAATGGGGATGAAAGTTTGTATTGGGAAGAAAGTTAGGGACGAACCCGAGCAAAGCGAGAGTGAGTCGCTAATTTTAAATAATTAAAAACTAAATTAAAATTATTATTCTTAAATACTAATATTATAAAGAGGTAAAGTTTGTGAGTTTGTGAGGTTGTGAGTTTGTGACGAAATAAAAAGGGCATAAGGCCATGCAGTATTTTCATGCTTTAAAATATATTTTTAAATAAAACTATCTTTTCGGATTATTTCGCGGATTTATTTTGATTTTTGGTTCCCGACGTTTCGAATGCTTTACAGCATCCATGGTCACGTCTTGAAGGTATAGTTGTTACAGACAGCCTACCCACAATTAACAAAATGAAAATTGCACCAATTACATTACAATATTTCTTAACTTTAAACATTTTTATAATTTTAATTATAATTGAATATGGAATATTCAGTTATAATTAAAATTATAAAAATGTTTAATTATATATATTTATATATTACACATAGAACAATTATATGGATTAAATAATTAATACTATATTTTATATTTTTCTTTATGGTTATAAATATAATAATGGCAACACTAAATATAGATTACTAATTAATATTTTTAAAATAGTAATAATTATAAAATTAATAGCAAAAATTAAATAAATAATATTCCATATTCAATTATAATTAAAATTATAAAAATGTTTAAAGTTAAAAAATATTGTAATGTAATTGGTGCAATTTTCATTTTGTTAATTGTGGGTAGGCTGTCTGTAACAACTATACCTTCAAGACATGTAACACCTCAGTCTCTCCCGTGACCATGGATGCTGTAAAGCATTCGAAACGTCGGGAACCAAAAATCAAAATAAATCTGCGAAATAATACGAAAAGATAGTTTTATTTAAAAATGTCAAACATTCGCGTAAATCTAAGAAAGTATTACATTAAAAAAAAAATTCGGCACTCCTAGAAGCCATGAAAGTAAAGAATTGAATTAAATTAAAAATATAATTCACCGAGCAATCTCCTTCGTATGTTCTCCATTCTAAATAACATTGGCAAAGTAATGTGTGTTTAATTACTGGCACGTTTTGAAACCATTATCAAGAAAATTGAATTGAAACTTCGATCCCAGGAAATTAAAGTTCTGAGTACGATGAGATATAAAATAATTATAAGTCACGTCATCATTAAAATATCTTGTTGTTTTATAATAACAGCGTTAACGTTTACCCGCGGCTTTGAATGCGTAGTTTATTTATGTATAATTGTAATGCTTTTAAAAGTCTTAAAGGAATAGGGCATCTAGCCAATAGATAAGCTATAGGTACAGTTCCAAAAAATAACATTCATACAAACAAATCTATCTATCAATATAAATAAAAGCCAAAAGTGATTGACGGATGTATAAACGCACAGGCCAAACCCTTAAGACTAGAAAATTGAAATTTCGCACACGTATTCCTCATATGACGAAGGCATCCACTAAGGAAAGATTTTTCAAAATTCAGCCTCCAAGGAGGTGAAATAGGGGATAAAAGTTTGTATGAAACTTTTTATTCCTTGGACATATTTGTATGACATTTCTGCTAGTGTTAAAATAAAGGTAGCCAACCTAACTAGCGTTCCCATTTCACGCCTTTGAGGTTTGAATATCAAATAAGCTCTTATTAGAGGTACATAGACAATGTTGAGAACTATCGACTCACCCTTGCTTCGCTTGTATTCGTCCCTAGGTTTCTTAGGATTCTTAGAGAGGATTCTTATGCCCAATTTCACCAACAACCCATAAGCTACCAC